ATGCGCTGAGTCTGTAAAACTCCGGTTGCAGGTGGCGTGTGAGTGAGATGAGCACAGCTGCGACAGTTTAACATGATCGCTCTTGTGCATGTTACTCCACTTGTCTGATTGCTGCTCAACTCTAATTGTAAATGATTATGTGGACACATTAATCTCTTCTTGTCTGAGATGGACTTTGGTGCTAGCTAGCTTTGAAAACCGCTCACACAGCGTAGTGAAACATTTTAGCTGCTGTTGAAAATTTGTCTGGCAAGTACTGCATCATCTGATCGGCTTTTCTTATCTGCCTTTTTAGTGACCACTGATCAAACTAGTTAAATCCATTATCGGTCGATTATGATCGGTGACCGATCGATCGGAGCACACTTACTCTAAGCTTTTTAAATAGTGTTAAAATCTAAAAGGACAGTAAAAGATACAGTGCAGTGTAAGTTATCAATCTACTAGTTAAAGGCAGGGGTAAAAAGAAAAGTCTTCAGTCTTAATTTAAAAGAACTGACAGTTTCAGCAGACCTGCAGTTATCTGGGAGTTTGTTCCAAATATACGGAGCATAATAACTGAACGCTGCTTCTCCTTGTTTAGTTGTGACTCTGGGGACAGAAAGCAGACCTGCCCCAGACGACCTGAGAGGTCTGAATGATTCATAACGAAGCAGAAGTTCAGAAATGTATTTTGGCCCTAAACCATTTAGTGCTTTATAAACTAACAGCAGGATTTTGAAATCAATTTTTTGACATACAGGAAGCCAATGTAAAGACCTCAGAACTGGAGTGATGTGATCCACCTTTTTGGTCTTAGTGAGGACTCGAGCAGCTGCGTTCTGAATCAGCTGCAGCTGTCTGATGGATTTCTTAGGGAGCCTGTAAAGACACCGTTACAGTAGTCGAGTCGACTGAAGATATATGCATGGATATGTTTTTCCAGGTCTTGCTGAGACATAAGTCCTTTAATCCTTGATATATTCTTCAGGTGATAGTAGGCTGAATTTGTAATTGTCTTAATGTGGCTCCTCAAATTCAGGTCTGAGTCCATGACTACACCAAGATTTCTGGCTTGATTTGTGGTTCTTAACATTAGAGATTGAAGTCGAGCACTGACTTTCAATCGTTCCTCCCTAACTCCAGTTTTATCCTTGTTTAATTGAAGAAAATTCTGGCACATCCAGTCTTTGACCTGCTCAGTACAGTTACTCAGCACCTGTATGGGATCGTAGTCCCCTGGTGAAATGGTTATGTAAATCTGTGTGTCATCTGCATAATTATGGTAACATATTTTGTTGGTTTTCATAATCTGAGCCAGTGGAAGCATGTAAATGTTAAACAAAAGAGGTCCCAGAATGGAGCCTTGGGGAACTCCACATGTCATTTTTGTCAGCTCAGATGTGTGATTACCTATAGACACAAAGTAGTCCCTGTCCTTTAAGTAGGATTCAAACCAGTTTAGTACTGTGCCAGAAAGTCCAACCCAGTTTTCAAGTCTGTCTAGTAATATGTTGTGGTCAACTGTGTCGAATGCAGCACTGAGATCCAATAATACTAAGACTGAAATTCTGCCACTGTCACAATGTTTAAATGGATATCATTGAAGACCTTAACAAGAGCCATCTCAGTGCTGTGGTGTGGTCGAAAACCTGACTGCAAGACATCAAAACAGTTATTTAGTGCCAAGAAAGCACTAAGCTGTTGAAAAACAGCTTTTTCAATGATTTTATTTAAAAATAGGAGATTTGAGATGGGCCTATAAGTGCTCATTTTTTTAAGATTGACTTAATGACTGCAGTTTTCATGGCCTGTAGAGAATATTATAAAAACTTATATAAATCACAAATCGATCCATCTAGCTCTAACATGGATGCATTTCTGAACAATATAGATTTGCCAAGGTTAGATGATGAACAGGAAGCTCTCTTACATATGCCGAATAATAAAGGTCACACCTGGTATAATACACTCCGACCAAACAGGATTTGTTAAGGGCAGGCACTCCACCAACAATACACACCTGGCTACTTAATGTAATAGACTATGCCACTATTCATAACCTGGAAACTACAGTTGTTTCTTTTGATGCAGAGAAAGCATTTGACAGAGTAAATTGGAAATTTCTATTCGCTACTTTATATAAATTTGGATTTGGAAACTCTTTCATAGATTGGATTAAAATCTTATACAGTTCCCCAAGAGCTTCTGTCAGGATAAACGATCATACTTCTCCATACTTTAGTCTTCTGACTGGTATCAGGCAGGGTTGCCTACTCTCTCCCTCGCTATTTGCCATTTTTATAGAACGGGGAATTAAAGGAATTCAAACAGAAAATGTACACCATAAAATAAGCCTTTATGCAGATGATGTATTGCTTTTCCTCCTAAACTCACAAACTTCTATTTCTGAGACAATCACACTTATAGATAAATTCTCATCCATTTCAGACTACTCCATTAACTGGAGTAAATCCATAGTTTTACTTGTAATGTGTGATTCCCAGAGTAAATTTACCACACTGCTATAGTCTGGGAATATTAAATATCTGGGTGTCAATATTTCCTCCAGGCTGTCAGAACTAACATGGCTAAACTACACGCCTTTACTTAAATCAATAGAGGATGACCTTGTAAAATGGATATCATTGCCTGTCTCCACCATAAAAATGATGGTCCTACCTAAAATCAATTACCTGTTTTCAATGTTACCCACCAAACCCTCTGCTGTCTGGTTTAAATCACTGGACTGAAACATCTCAAAATTTTTGTGGAAAAATAAACCCCCACGAATCAGTTTAAAAACTCTGCAAAAAGCAAAAGATTGTGGTGGTTTAGAACTGCCATATTTTTCTCATTACTTTCCTGTCCAATAGACTACAGTATCTCAAAATGGATCAATCAAAGCCCCCTGGACCACTCATGGATGTACATAGAACAAACAAGGAAATTATTATTATTAAATTAAAATTTCCGATATGCCATTCATCAGTTCCAGCATTAAACATTATACCATAAGTGTCCCAGAGAAAAGGGCTGCATGATCATTTACACAGTCTGAGCATCTATGTTTTGGGGAACAAAAGATGGAGAAGAACAGCTACTGAGGAAAACAATCAACAACCCCACATCCCTGACCTAAACCCCACACATGTGGACAGACTGGAATAACAAGAACAATAATAAAGATGGAATTTCGGTTCTCGGAGGGGTCTGGCGGCTGGTTGTTGGAGGGGTGGGGGACCAGGAAGAAGGGGGTTGACGCGGTGGGTTGGGGATGCGGGCTGGTTCTTTTTTGAACTGGTTTGAACTCCTTGGGATTTTGGTGCTTGGACTGGATGCTTGGTGGTTGTACGAGGATCCTGTGTGGGAAGGATTGTGCTTTGGGGTGTGTCGATGGTTGTTTTGTGGTCGGGTCGTGGGGTGCTGGGAGATTCCTGCCCCTAAGTGGGTCCTAGGGGCTGGGTTTATCTGGTGACTTCCTGGGGCTCAGGGGCTGTTGCTGCTGTCGCGGGGTGACTGGTGTCTCTTTTCTTTGGGTGGGGGGGAATGCTTTGCTGCTGGGGAGGGAAGGGTGCGGGGGGTGGGTGTTTTCTGGCCTGGCCTGGGTGGCCTTGCTTCCTGCGTGTGGGTGGACCTTCGGGTCTGGGCCCTAGGGGCCGTTGGGCCATACTGTTCCTGGGCTGGGTCCTTGCCGCCCCGGACCTGCTCCCTTGTGGGGGTGGCGAGTTGTGCCAGCTTCGATAGCCTGATGATGCTCGGGGTGCTCCTGATTGTGTGGTAGCAGAGAGGTGGGGGGCTGCGGGGCTGCGTCGGGGGTTTGGTAACTCTGGGTCTGTGGTGGGTCTGCGCGATGCCCCCCCCCCCCCGGACCCGTCCTTGGGCTGGGCAGTGTTGTCGCTGACTCTGGGGTGCAGCCGGTGCTAGAGGGGCTCTTGCTATAAGCCCTGGGGTTTGGGTGTTTTGGTTGTTCAGTCTGCGGCGGTTAGGTGCTGGTTGGGGGGGGGGGCACTGGTCTATGTTGTGTACACGCGTTGTTTGGGCGTCTGTTGGTTGGGCCGGGGTCTTCCGTGTTTGCGTCAGAACAACAGAGTGAATTAGATTTTTGTGACATTAATTTCAAGGAATTTCTGATTTTTGTTCCTGAAAGTTGAGACTTTCATCTAGGATTTTTTTTCTCGGTTTATTAACCCTCACCCTGGCTTTGTATTTTTTAGACACGTAAAATAGTCAAACTAAATACGTGAAAACAGTTAGGGTAATTTAAATATAGCCTACAGATGGGCTACATCTAAGAAATTGGCCTGTTATTTAATTAAGATTTCCTCCCTAAAATCACAGAGGCTGCAGGGCTCGCTGTAGGCTTAATGCTGATGTGTTTCCTAATTTAATTTCATCTGTAACCACAAGATAAAATCTAAACATATTTTATGAAATGGTGTATTAATATCCTACTTCTCATCATTAACACTGAGTACAGATGTGCTGTGTAGTCCGCATACAGGGTAACCTCGAGTAAACCACGAACAAAACCTGCTCGGAGCAGTTTAGAGATGCAGTGTAAATTGCCATCACCTATCCACCTTTCGTAGTACAGACTGTTCAAATACGTTTTACGAAATATTTATTTCTCCACACATTTAAGACAGTAGTGGTATCAGTGGTCTGAATGTATATAATGTATGTATTTCATTATTCTCCACAGACGTCCAGCTGCTGTTGGTGAGTAAAGAAGAGGCTCCCCCTGAGCAGCAGGAGTGGAGGCCCAGTCTGGACCAGGATTACCCACCAGAGCCCCCACACATTAAAGAGGAGTGGAGCCCCAGTCTGGACCAGGAGGACCCACCAGAGCCCCCGCACATTAAAGAGGAGTGGAGCCCCAGTCTGGACCAGGAGGACCCACCAGAGCCCCCACACATTAAAGAAGAACAGGAGGAGCTCTGGACCAGTCAGGAGGGAGAGCAGCTTCAAGGACTGGAGGAGGCTGATATCACCAAGTTTACATTCACTCCTGTCCCTGTGAAGAGTGAAGAAAATGATGAAGAGAAACCTCAGTCCTCACAGCTTCATCAAAGACTAACTGAACAGATGAAAACAGAAGCTGATGGAGAGGACTGTGGAGGACCAGAACCAGCCAGGAACTCAGATCCAGATAGACATTTAAAACCAGCTGCTCCTGACAGGATTTCAAACTCCTCTGAACCGGAGTCTGATGATAGTTTTGATTGGGAGGAGATCAGGAAACAAGCTGAATGTGCTACAAGCTTTGACCACAAGGTACATTTGCAGGAAAATAATGGAATCCAAACAGGAGAGAAACTATTTAGTTGCTCAATCTGTGGCAGAAGATTCCTCTGGAAGAAGTCCTTAATGACTCATATGATACTTCATTCAGAAGGAAAATGTTTCAGCTGCTCTGTTTGTAAAAAAACATTTAAATGCAGGGTAAAGTTTGTGAAGCATGTGAGATTTCACACAGTGGAGAAACGCTACGTTTGTTCCTTCTGTGGTAAAAGATTCCCACACAACTCAAATTTGACCCGACACTTAACAGTTCATACTGGAGAAAAACCTTTCAGCTGCTCAGTTTGTTTAAAAAGTTTTGGTAACAGAGACACTTTGTCCCAACACATGAGAGTCCACACAGGAGAGAAACCCTTCAGTTGTTCTCTCTGTGGTAGAAGATACGCAAATAAGTCACTTCTGAAAGAACACATGAGAATCCACACAGGAGAGAAACCCTTCACATGTTCAGTTTGTAAAAGAAGTTTTCGTGTCAGAGACCAGTTGTCCAAACACATGAGAATCCACACAGGGGAGAAACCCTGCAGTTGTTCTGTCTGTGGTAAAATAATTGCAAAAAAGTCACGTCTGAAACAACACATGAGAATCCACACAGGAGAAAAACCTTTTACATGCTCAGTTTGTAAAAGAAGTTTTCGTGTCAGAGACCATTTGTCCAGACACATGAGAATCCACACTGGGAAGAATCTATTTAGTTGCTCTGTCTGTGGTAAAACATGTGTTGGAAATATGAGTAGACACATGAAAACCCACAGAAAGGAGAAACCATTTTGTTGCACTGTATGTAATAAAAGATACACTCGGCTTGAGCATCTTAAAAAGCACAAGTGTGCTGGTGAGAGCAGTGGAAGTAAATGAAGCTGCAACTAAGGGCAATACCAGTAGGTATGGGCTACATTACTGCAGGAATCACTGTTTAAACTAATCTGTATAAAACTGATCAATGAACAGTATATGATGTGAATATTTCTGAGTGAGGATGAATGTTGTGCAGCTGAAACAAATGTAGTTTAAAAGTGAGTTTTTCATTATCTGCTGATAGTCTGAATGTGTTTTGACATAATTTAATTAAATACGAAATCGGCAAGATTTTATTAACGTGAAATAGACGTCTAAAACTTAACAGTCAGTGTGAGCTTACAGACATATTTTCCACTTCCAAATAAATCATTAATAGGCTGACCTGCTGGGTCAGACTGTGACTTTACAATCACAGGTCCACAAGTAAACTGTGCCTTATTTTGTTTGTTAGGCCTACATAGCTTCATCTTCAGGAAGCCAATTGCTACCAGCATCTTGTCCCTTCAGATTAAATACCTTATTTAAAAATTGAATGTAGCCTTTTAGGCCTACCTTATCATTCATTAAGGAAATTCCAGTCCGGCAAACGATGAACGAGCAACGCTGTATAAAATGCAATTGTTAATGTATTGAGTCTGTCATCCACTTCGGATCGGCTGTTCTGAAACCGAAAAGTTGGGACTTTCTGAAACAGAACCCAGGTGAGATCATCTCTGTTTTTTGTCTTGTAAAATAATAGACTCTTCTTGTACCAATTATTGACTGACTCCAGTATGTTTTTCTGACTACAAGTCAAGCTTTTGGGTTTTCAGTTGGCCTTGCCATTAATGTTTTGGCAGCGTTTATTCTGGCGGTATCAGGTGACTCCCCTGCGTCTTCAGTGCACATTAAAAATAGAATGTTTGAAATGTTGAAAACTGTTGTCATGGTTTTGAGTTAACCAAACATAATTTGGGCCGCACCTTTGTGACATCATTTCAAGCTTCATTGCTGCGGGATCCTGGTTCCCCTCCACTCGGGAGATGGCGAAATTGTCCTCCCCAAGTATGCCCTGCACCACCTTACAAAAGGCGCTCAGTGTTTTGCCTGTGAGGCCTCCACCTGAGTTTGAATATCAGTAATAATAAAGATTATAAGTAAATAAGGCAGAGCTAATTGCAAAGGGCCTATAGGTATGCGAAAGGGAAATAAATGAATTATACCTGTGCACAAAATGTTGGATTTTTGGCGGCTCTGATCTGTGAAGCGTTTAAAAGCCTGGAGATGTCCTCCCATGCCAATTACTTATCAGCGCTGGTTAATCTTGGGCTGAATTTGCCTTTTTATAACATGCTTCCTCTGTTCAGCAAATTCAGCAAGCAGTAGTGCTGCTTATTCCCTCCAGTTCAGTTTTCTTTTGAAATCCACGGTGGCTATGATTGGATCATAAAATCCAGGCTATAAATAGGCAAGTCAGTAAACAGCTCTCCGGTTTAAAATTTGTAAATAAGAAGCGGTGGATAACGTGCAGGAAACTTTTTTCTTTAATTTCCAATGTGCATATCATAATGTATTCTCTGGAAAATTCTTTATTGTCAAACGTGTTCATGTAAACCCCTCTTCACCATTTAAGGTGAATGTATTTGAGAATATTCTTAAAGAAGGAAATCTAGTGATTCTCTGTGATTGGTCCTTGCCTATGTTGTCATCCAAAATCCTGTTTGTGAACCAGCTCTGCAACTGACACTTAAGATTTACTCCTACACTTAACTTAAATTAGGACTGAGATGTTCCATGAGTAAAGTTCCAGAAACTTTAAGACTTTAAAACAGACACTACTAACCTTTTTAAATGCAGAAATTACTCATCTTTTATTTTCTGATATTACTATAATTTAACTAACACGTCCTGCTGTTGTCATAAGATGGAAGTATTTTTCTTTTTTAGAAATGTATCATACATTTATTCAGCAGGATGGAAGTGGCTGTTGAAGTTGACTCTTCACCTGATATCAGATCAAAGAGACGCAAAGTGAGATTAGGAACCGTAGTTTATTTTGGAAATCAGCACAGAATTGCTACCGGAAGCAAGTGTACTTCCGGTGGCTAACATGCTAACTTTTCCCGGTAAGTTACCGTGAGATGCAGCCGGAGTTCAGCAGCAGAGCCTGCATGTGAGGATCAACGTGTTTAAGTGGACTCTGTTTAAACTTTCGGGATGTTTCACCTCAGACTCATCTCCTGTTAGCCAAGAATGCTAAAGGAAGTTAGCTTGTTAGCAGGAAGTAGCCGGAGCCGGAGCTCGGCCTCACAGTCGGAGCAGCTTCCATAGAGACCAAACTGTATTTTTCACGGAGCCCAAATGTCCAAATGTCCAGATAGAGCTGTCTGAATAGACTCTGTGCTGTTCCCTTTATCTGAACATGTTTAACATCTGAATTATCTCCCGCTGTCCTACGAAGCTAATGCAGTTAGCTTAGCTTGCTAGCTGGAAACAGTCTGCAGGAAAAGCTGCTGTGAATCAGTAAAAATGTCTAAAGTGGAGAACGAGGAGGAACTTTGTGGACAACGCAAACTACTGGACGCTGTTTTCAAGCCTGGAGCAGGTTTGTACACTGTACTTCAGACCCACGTGTCTAAACAGTCAGAAAAACAGCCTGTTTTCCGTTCGTGTCGATTCGTTTTCCAGCTGATCGAAGAGGGTTTAAATTTTAAAGTCTTTATTCAGCTGAAGAAGAAGGAGGGAACACTAAAAGTAATCTGAAAAGGAACTACTAACTTAAGCTATCAGACAAAATGTAGTAGATGAAAAAGTAAAGTACAAGTACCTCATTAAAGAACCTGGATGTTGGAGATGTATTAAACAAGATGGCCCTGTAAAGTGTTGTCCTGTTGTTTGCCCACCACACATTTATTATTATTTAAACCAAGCTAATATCCATCAGACCATACTTTTAAAAAAAATATTATCCAGTGCGACCATTTCACTCACACATCCCCTAAAAATAGATAAGTGAATGAAAGCAACCCACAAAAATGAAACTGTTGAATTGTTATTATACTAGTGGCATACTATCCAGTATACTATTCGAGGTCTACAAAATTTCCTTTGGATGATGTCTAAAATGAAACCTCGGGGTGGATGATGTCATTGGGTGCATGTGTTCTCGCACAGTTAAATCGTTAAAAAATTGGTAGACTATTAACTTACGTTACAAGTCGCAGTGGATATTTTACGCACAGACCTGGTAAAGAAACAGTGAACACACAGGGTGCAGATGTTGGTTTCAGTTGTTTGATTGGCTGCGTCATTAAAAAGCACATAGAGAGGCGAGTCAAGCCGGGGTGTTTACCTGAGGTGTAGGTGTGTGCGTTTCAGTGTGGGGAGCAAAGCATACTTAAAAACAATAATAAGAATGTTCGTGGTCATTAAAACCTCCTTTCACAGGGTGATAGCCTATAATGTGAAAATTTAAAAAACATTTGCTGGGGGGGCGCGGTTTTACAATCATGATGCCGGCTCAACGTCGGGATGTCTGTCAGCCATCGCTGATGGACGATGGCATCGTCTATCAGCCCAACCCTACCACCTAACTCTAATTAAACCATATATCTAATTAAATATCTTTCAAGTGAATTACTGATATACTCCAACACACAGACTTTCTACCTTTAAGTTGAAGAGGTTCACCATTCAGAATGAACACTAGTATCATCGAAAGGGGGGAAAAAATAGCGAAGAAGACAAGGCAGGGTAGGGTTAGGGTTAAGACAAGACAGGGTACTCCTATAATTCACTGATTTACTTTTGCACTTAACACGTTAGCTAACACAACTTAAATAGCGTTCTCTTAGCCAGTACCATCCATAAGACCTCAAACCCAAGAAAGATGATTGAAGAGGCAGCAGTTCTCCAAGGTAACAGCCATATTGGTGCATAAATATTAAGAATTATTATTTAAATAAAACCAAATACAAAAGTAGGGTAACCACAACTGCACACCCAACAATGTAATGTCTCTTTAGAATAATAAAGCAACTCTCTCCTCCTACTTCTGTTCGTTAGTTTTTCACAAGCAAATAATTTTCTGTACATCATGAGCTACATGTCTCTTGATTTACGTTTAAATGTTACATTATCCAGAATGTAAAGTCAGAATACCAGCGGTACGACTATCTTACAGTGGCCTTTCCTCTGCTGTTGCTCTGTTGTCATCTGCTACAGTGGTCTGTGTGGCTGTGGGACCAGAGAGCTTCCTCAGCAAGACTGGCCGGCTGGCTTGCTAGCTCCCATTTAATGTTAGCTGTACTGGTGCATTTTGTTGTTCAACATGTTCAACTCTTCATAAAGCCTGTGTGCTCATCAGTGTCACTTTTCGCCAACTGATCTGTCAGAGCCTGGATGGGGCAGGACATTAAACAAAGTCTGACGTACTACATCAAACTTTGAAATGTTACACAAAATTATTATTGAGAAGTTAGGACTTCGTATTAAAAAGTTTACAAGACCAATGTAAAGCTTTTTTCTTGCACAAGGATTTAATGGATAAAAACAACCCCCAGAAATGAAACGGCTGTAACTGGATTTTATATGAAACTAGTGGTAAGATAGCCTTATACTAACAGTATGCTACTAACTAAACTTTATGTTTTATTTAATGTTATAATGTTAAAGTAATAAACTAAAATATACTAGTTCCTCATGCAGGTTGTGGACTGCGTCTGCAGAGGACAGATGTAGATTTAGCCAGAGCCAGGATGCCAGTGTGCCAATATGTACTGTATTTCTTGTTTGTGCGAGTTAAATGCCAGTATTTTGTGCATTTCCTTTTTAATCAAGCAAGTAGACTCATAGTACCATTTGTACCATTATATCGCAATTGAAAATTGCAATATTGTCTGCAGTAACCGCATTATGACTTTTCTCTAAATTGTGCAGCCCTACTGGCCTCCTGTGACTAACTGGCCAATGAAATCTTGGTCTGACTGATGGTTTAGTTGACTATTAGAAGGCAGCTTGAAGTCTCAGAAATTAGTGGTGTCAGTGGTTTTAAATGTTAACAGGACATTAGTTTTCTAAAACGTGTATGTATTTCATTATTCTCAACAGACATCCAGCTTCTGTTGGTGAGTAAAGAAGAGGTTCCCCCTGAGCAGCAGGAGAGGAGCCCCAGTCTGGACCAGGAGGACCCACCAGAGCCCCCACACATGAAAGAGGAGTGGAGCCCCAATCTGGACCAGGAGGACCCGCCAGAGCCCCCACACATGAAAGAGGAGTGGAGCCCCAATCTGGACCAGGAGGACCCACCAGAGCCCCCACACATTAAAGAGGAACAGGAGGAGTTCTGGACCAGTCAGGAGGGAGATGAGCTTCCACAGCTGGAGGAGGCTGATATCACCACGGTCACATTCACTTCTGTCCCTGTGAAGAGTGAAGAAGACGATGAAGAGAAACCTCTGTCCTCACAGCTTCATCAAAGACTAACTGAACAGATGGAAACAGAAGCTGATGGAGAGGACTGTGGAGGACCAGAACCATCCAGGAACTCAGATCCAGATAGACATTTACGACCAGATAGTTCAGACTCCTCTGAACCTGAGACTGATGATAGTTGTGACTGGGAGGAGATCGAGAAATGTCAGTCAGGTTCAAACCCTCTGCAAAACAATGAAGTAGCTGTAAGTGATGTGGAATGTAATAATGGGAAGAAATCATGTAGCTCCTCTGAATGTGCTACAAGCTTTGGCTGCAAGGGACATCTGCAGGAACACAATGAACTCGAAACAGCAGAGAATGCATTTAGTTGCTCAGATTGTGGTAAAAGATTCCTCTGCAAGAGCTCCTTAATGGATCATATGAGGCTTCATACAGAACAAAAACATTTCAGCTGCTCAGTTTGTGAAAAAACTTTTGAGTTTAAAGAATATCTTGCGAGGCACATGAAAGTTCACTCACAGAAGAGACCATTTAGTTGTTCAGTTTGTAAAAAATCATTTAAATGGAGATGTAAGTGTTTGAATCATATGAGAATCCACACAGGGGAGAAACCCTTCAGTTGTTCTGTCTGTGGTAGAAGATTCACACTAAGCTCAGGTTTGAGCTCACATTTAAAGGTTCATACAGGAGAAAAACCCTTCAGCTGCTCAGTTTGTAAAAAATGTTTCCGTCAAAGAAGCTATTTTTCTAGACACATGAGAATCCACACAGGGAAGAAAGACTTCAGCTGTTCTGTCTGTAGTAAAACATTTGGCCAAAGTTCAGATATGAACAAACACTTGAGAGTCCATACAGGAGAAAAACCTTTTAGCTGCTCAGTTTGTAAAAAATGTTTCCGTCAAAGAAGCAGTTTGTCCTCACACATGAGATTACACACAGGCGAGAAAGACTTCAGCTGTTCTGTCTGTAATAAAACATTTGGCCAAAGTTCAGATATGAACAAACACTTGAGAGTCCATACAGGAGAAAAACCTTTTAGCTGCTCAGTTTGTAAAAAAAGTTTCAGTCAAAGAAGCAGTTTGTCCAGACACATGAAAATCCACACAGGGTAGAAGCCAAGTAGTTGAAGCGTTTGTGATAAAACATTCACTGGGTTCGAATATCTCAAAATACAGAAGTGTGCTGGTGAGAGCAGTGGAAGTAAATGAAGCTGCAGAGATGCTCGTTGAGCCAATTCCTTCCAGCAGGACTGAAGTACTGAAGGCAAGACTTGGCTCAACACTGATCAGTTCAGAACTGTGATACAGACAAAATAAGTGAAGCTTCATATTTTCAGCTAAGATGAAGCCATCCGGTCATTTTAATTATGGTTTTCTTTTGTTTGTTTTTTACTAGGGGTGTAACAATTCTCCAAATACACGTTTCGATTCATACCTCTATTTTTGTTTCCTGTTTTTTGGAGGGCATTATTATTATTATTATTATTATTATGTTTATTATCATCATCATTATTATTTCCATCTCAGGTTAAAGTAGTCTAACTTGCGGCCATGATCACTCAACCATGACTGGACCAAAATAGTCACGTGACGTGCATTTGGAAGACAATAAAATAACTGTATGGTGTAATATGTACAAAATATAGACCTACAGCTTGTCCTAACTTTAAATACAGTGTCTCACACATTTACTTTAATTGGGCGGGCCGCCCACGTAGGGGTGATTGATATTACAATATTAAAATGAACAAAATTATAAAGGCAACCCTTTTGTTTTTTCCGCCATTCATCATGAGCTGAACTCAAAGATCTAAGACTTTCTCTTTGCACACAAAAGGCCTATTTCTCTCAAATATTCACTCACAAATCTGTCTAAATATGTGTTAGTGAGCACTTCTCCTTTGCCCAGATAATCCATCCACCTCACAGGTGTGGCAGATCAAGATGCTGATCTGAAAGCATGGGGATTGCACAGGTGTGCCTTATGCTGGCCACAATAAAAAGGCCTTAGGCTGGCCACAATAAAAGGCCACTCCAAAATGTGCAGTTTCACTGTATTGGAGGGGTCAGGAGACCAGTCGGTATCTGGTGTGAACACCATTGGCCTCACGCAGTACAACACATCTCCTTCGCATAGAGTTGATCAGGTTGTTGATTGTGGCCTGTGGAGTGTTGGTCCACTCCTCTTCAATGAATGTGCGAAGTTGCAGTCAGGTCGAGACCCCGATGAGGACGACGAGCATGCAGATGAGCTTCACTGAGACGGTTCCTGACAGTTTGTGCAGAAATTCTTTGGTTATGCAAACCAATTGTTGCAGCAGCTGTCCAGGTGGCTGGTCTCAGACGATCTTGGAGGTGAAGATTCTATCTTATCTAATTAGCTCAGTTAGCCGTGCAATTGTGGTCATAGCTGACCCAGATTGAGAGCTCGGAGAACCAAGGACTGGAGGTTTTCAGGCCAGGATAACAGCAGGGAGCAGCGTCAGGCGGGCAACCAAACCTCACTCAGCACCAGTGGCAGCTGGTGAAAATATTTTAGGTGGGCTGTGCGATATCCAGTCAGTTTCAGAAACCGTCGCAATACAATTGAACACAAACTGCAGAATACAAGTGCTTTGTGAAATAGTCAGAAATGATTTAATGCAAATATTATATTAATATACAAAAATATTAACAGAGAAAGTGGCATGAAAAGTACAATTAGGCTTCCTCTAATTTGTACTTCAGTAGAGTAGGCCAACCTAAGTTACTGTTACCACTGGAAATAACCACATCTTAACACTTCAGAGCTGCCTATTAACTTTACAGCTGACCTCTGTGGCCAACAGACAGTGGGTGGAAATGTCAGATATCTCATCTGCCTGAACAGCAAGATAATCTGCATTTTTTACTTCTTCCAGAATGTAATCTATAAGAATTGACAGCATGCAGTCCTAAAGTCTTTGAGGTGCCTTTGGTAGCTGTCTTAAGGTGCGCCTCCAACACACTGTCCAGCAAGGCAAAAAGATCTACTGAAAACGCCAGGGTTGTCAGAGGATGCGGTCTCATTGTGGCCGCGCAAGGCCGATGTTACCTCTGCCTAGCATGGCTAGCTTCACTGTGTTTTCCATCCATTCCAATCTTCTCAGATAAATGTATCGTGTCGTTTACTCCTGTAACAGTCCGTGATGTATCCGTGAGTGAGTTAGCAGGAAGTTAATTTCCCCCCCAAACATAATTATTTAGCCTGTATTTTATATATTACACATTATTGTGCATTTTAAATACACATATATTTAAAAAGGTAATTACTGTTTATTTAAAAAAAGTTTATTTTAAAAAGAAAAATCTAAATACTTTCTACCCATAGACTGTCTATAAAAAGTTTCCACCACAGGGGAGGGCGGCGCCCTAGTGCCCTCTGTTGGCCAGCCGCCACTGCTCAGCACCTTCCGAGTGAACGGGACTGAACACAAAGACCAACAGGGAAAACTACAGAGGTGATTTACAGTTTCACAGATAAATTAACTTTTTACTAAACCGCAGACAGCTGCTAACTTCATCAGGAGCTAATTAGCTCTGTTAGCTGTGCAGCTAGCTGTCCTATTAGCTGACTGAGCCCCGGGTGCCAAGAGCCAAACCGGACGAAAACAGGTTTTTGTGAAAAGTGAAATAAAGTCATATAATTTGCCATTTCATACAGAAGACCATTGGAGCTAAGTGCAGATGAATCCAGAAATTAAAAAGATGAAAGAACTTTGACTCTAAACGGTTATGTTTTCAAGATAACCTGCCAATTTTGGTGAGTTTTTGTCCAGCAGATTTTGCTGCACGGACAGTTTAAGGGGAGAAAAAGAAGAAAGAAAGAATAATAATAATAATGAGAACAGCTCCAGCAGCTTTGCTGCCCAGCTCCCTTATCAGTGACGTTAGTGAGCAGAGGATGGTAAGCAAACTTCATTTTACATTCACATAATCTTTATGGATTTATACATTAGCTAGCCTCTGTTCTTGTGTTAAACAGTCATATCCTTGAGTTTATCCACGGCATGCTTGCTTTAAGTTTTGTCAAAGTTGCATTATAGTTGTTGAGTAAAGCAGGTTAGGCTTTTGGAGTCAACCAGCAAGCAACGATTTTCAGTTTGACACAAGATTCAAGAGTCTGCGATCTGATTTTCATACAGCACTGAATGGATAAATGCATGGAATAGGCTGAAAATACATCAAATAAGCAAAACACACTAGCATGGCTCCCTCAGTGCTTTGCTGTGAAGTCAAGGTAAATCTATAATCTGTAGGGATTGGGATAAGTGTCCCTCTGATATGAAAGGTGCTCCTCAAATGACCCAGCAGACTTAATGAGGATTGAGTTAGTGCGCAGAGGTCCATTTCCTAGAAGAGGTTTCTATTAAAGATTGTCACAGAGACAGGCTTTTTACAGGAGGGAGGGATTGTAGTGAGAACACTGTGGTGTCAGGTGTTGAGTGGGCAGCAATGATAAAATTGTTTACATGGTGGAAAACCAGAAAACATGGGAATGCTGTGCAGTGACATATTGGCTTCCTGCCATCCAACCAGTGTGCAGCTCAAGAATTGAAATGGCCGCTTAGTGTTAGTAAAATTTAAACAATGGTCACTGTGTAGTTGTGACATGACGACCTCACAAGTCCTGAGGGCTTTTTTAAAGGCCCAGTTTCTGAATAAGGGAAGTTTGCATTTCTCCCTTGATATGTTCACAGTATTTATACGACAACTAGACCTGCTTTATAATCAAAAACCCACATGTAAATTTTTAGAGGACAAGTCCTTAGTTTGATGCAGTCATTGTAATTTTCACCAGTGCTGTCTCTGTGCTATGATGACGGAGAAAGTCACACAACTGATTTTTTACTGCTTTCTCTTAAACCTCTTTTACACCAACCCTGTTTTCAAGCGTTACAAAAAGAACAGACAAACTCACCCAGTGGAAATGTAAAAGATGTCAAACCTTTATTTGAAGCACCTTTACCCATGTGGGGGACAGCTTGTCCCCGGGTTCCTGGTCTGAGCCGCTGTAAATCACCTTGGTGCTGTATTCCCTGTCGTCAAACTGGCCTCCTTCGAAATCTGACACCGTTTTTATTTTCTGTGACTAACTGGCCAATGAACCCAAAGCAAATAACAACAGAATGGCTCCAGCAGAAGAAAATACGCCTTCAGAGTCCTGACTTCAACCCAACACTCCTTTATGACTCGTACAATGAAGAAACTTCAAGACTTAAAAACCGACACTATTAACCCCTTTAAATGTGACTTATCGAGACTGATAGTCAAATGCAGACTTTAATTTAAAACTGTAATGTTTCTCGATGATTCATCATCAGGGGTTGATTCATAGTCTGAGTGTTCAACAAACACGTCCTGCTGTTGTTTCTTTTATAGAAATGTATCAGACATTTGTTCAGCAGGATAGAAGAGGCTGTTAGAGTTGACTGTATTTACCTGATATCAGAATCAGATTTATTGGCCAAGTATGTGAACACATTTCAGTGACATCTTTTAAACACGTCCCAATACTTATCTGTATGAAGCCTTTTATTAATGCCACCACCACTCTGTTTAATTTCAACATGTCTCATCTGTTTTATCAATATTATTGTTGGCTATTTTATTACTTACTTACCTGAATCCTGTTTCAACCATGTAAAGAACTTTGTAACTTTGTTTATAAAGTAATGTATAAATAAAGTTTATTTGTTATTACAGGACCCACAACTAGTGTGGTACTGCAACATTATCTCAAGCAAAGATGTGGTTGTACTTCCTGTGGCTAACATGCTAATTTACTTTAATGTGTCTGAAAGCTGCGCATATGTAGAGGCATGAAAGACAAATCGGCTCCTTAAATTCTTGGGTTTGTGGTTTGATGTATTGCTAATGTGAAGAAATCATTTTGATAAGGTGGAAGATAAATGTAAGAGAGTATTGAATATTATGAGGTGTTTAACAGGCAGTGTTTAGGGAGCTGATTGCGTTAAGAAATATTTATATAGCATTAGATCAGTTCTTGAATATGGATGTATAGTTTTTGGATCGGCTGCTAGAACATCTTTAAAAAGGTTGGATATAATTCAGGCCCAAGCGTTGAGGTTATGCTGTGGAGCCGTAAAGTCAACACCAATATCAGCGCTTCAGGTTGGAGAAATGCCACTGAATCTAAGAAGGAAACAGCTAATTAGTGGGTAAATTTACAAAGTCAAAAGGACACACGTCCCACAGAAAGGATAATGAATGAAAGTTGGGAAAACAACAAAATTAAAAAGGAGGTATTCAGTAATGTAATGTTTTGGATATAACAAAGGAGTCAGGAATCAACGATTGGGTCGCTAGTCCAGCTGCTTTAATGCCAGCTGTTCCACCATGGTTATTACCTCAGCCTAGAGTTGATCTTTCTCTACTGAAACAGGTTCGTTCAAGTAAAAACATTTTAGATATGCAAGCTTATGTTAACACGGTGCTGCATGAGAAATATGGGTCCTACATACATTTATTTACAGATGGCTCTAAAAACCCAGAGAACGTAAAATCCAGCTGTGATTTTTACCTCCCAGAATTAAAAATTAAGGTGTTTGAAAGATGAACCTGCCATTTATCGGTGTCTGCAGCAGAAATGACGGAGGTCTTGTTTGCACTACAGCGGATAGAGGAAGTCA